CCAGCAGCATCCTCTCAAGGAAACAGAGGTCAGAGGCGCCCGGAGCCCGAGGATGAGGTCAGACCATTACCGGCGGGCGCAGATGCTCAATAATTCATGGGCTGCTGGGAGCCAGCGCTGCAGCTTCCGGCGGGCCGATGCAGACGGCAGACAGGAAACCGTCTGGTCACCAGCACCTGGGGGACCCAGCACGTCCCCCCGGGGCTAGACTAAGTGATCAGCTTGGTGAGAAGGGGGCTGAGGGCTAACGGACCCTTCCTAGCTGCGTGACTGCAGGCCAGTCACTTAGCCGATCTGCTTCAGGCTCTTCTATGGGCTGGGAAGGTCCCTGAACGAGTGAGGGAGCCATGGTCTAACCAAATCCTGGGTGCGGACTGAGCATGTCCTCCTGACCCAGGGGAGGTACTAACCACCCCCTGGCCCCAGGACGCCTTTCTAGGAGCCCAGTATTTCACCCAGCGGTGCCCCTCCCCCAGGCATGCCAGGCCACAGCAGGACTAAGATAAAGCACCCCCTCCCCCCTTGTGCCCCATCCCTACATTCCCAGGCCTTGTGTGTTGGGGGGGTGAGAGGGCACTGGGCTGGGGCCGGGCTGGTTTGGGATACCTGGTTTCCCCTCTTAGAATAAATTCCCAACAAAAAAAAAGTTACTTGGAATCAAACATCCTTTCTTGGTCTAGGAGGCAAGGAGAACGTTAAAAATATATATTAAGAAAGCCCAGAATATTCTTAACGAACACACAGGGATTCCTGGTAGCAATTCCTCACAGACAGAGAGGAATAAGGTCGTTTAATCCCGAGCAGGTACGAAGTCCAGACTCCTCCGCTTTGAGCTGGAGCTCGACGGTGGCTGTGAGGTTTACCCAGGTGCCGGCCTGTGCCTGCCTGCGGCGGGTTCGGGCCTGTGCGGGCGTCCTTCCCTCCCAGGCTTGTTTGCGATGCAGCTGGACGGTTTCCGCTATCTTCTCCGCTCGGCCAGGGCTGCACCCCTCCCCGTGCCTCTCCCCAGGCCCCCAGGGGACGGGGACTAGGAACAAACCCACATTCACTGCAGGCTGCCTACCCTGGCCGCCTGGCACGGCGAAGGGCTCACGTGATACCATCACCTCGAAAAGCAGGACCGTCCCTTTGTTCACCGTAAGGGATCCTGGGGCCACTAACCTAGATCAGGAGAAGTCCGAGGCCCAGAGCTCCCCCTTCTCCTCCATCAGAGGGAGGTTACACTACACTCTTGGAACTGACAACCCGGTACAACGGACGGTAAATGGTGTGTGTGTGGGGGGGGCGGTTATCACACTTGGGGGGCAGCCCTACTCTCATCTGCTGGGCCTGCTCACCCAACGCCTCTCTGGGGAGACTCGGGGTCAAGGCACAGGTGCAGGCAGCAGGGGGCAGCACTGGAGCTGTGGGCCTGACTGCAGGGTGACCTCCCCTGCTCTGGTCCTGGCCCTCACACCGCCCCAGAGGTGATGCTGGGTGAGAACTGCACCTGGGGGCACACCTTGGACAAGCCTGCTGCCTGGTACCAGAGAGCAGGACAAGGCCAGGGAGACGATGCTGTCCCCACAAATCCGGAGCCGTGCACCTCCCGTCCTTGGGTGCCAGCATCACGCAGGCCCCGCGGACGTCCCCACTTCCCGTGGGGGGGGGGGCATCAGGACCCTCTGGGCATCCTAGGTGAGGAGCACAGCACCAGCACATGGAGGTGCCCAGGGTGAGGTAGGCACCTTTCCCTGCCCATCAGGAAATGGCAGTGTTCAGCCCAGGTGCCACTTATCTGAGAGGCCTCCCCCAGTCCCACAGGTCTGTCCTGGAAGAGGCCTAGACCCCCGTCCGCGTGGCCCAGGACTGTCCACTGGTGCCCGAGAATGCAGCTCCAGCCCCACCTTGTGTCTCCAGGGGACCCGGTTCATCGAAGGTGAGGAAGGCGGGTCGCGGAGTGAAGCACGGCCAAGGCTCAGGTCCAGGGCCCTCGGGCCACAGAGGCGCAGCTGTCCAGGCTCAAACGAGCCCTGCCCCAGCTCGCGGCCTTCCTCTCGGTGATGGCCCCGGGGAGAAAGGCAGGGGGCAGCTCCCGCCACGGTGTGGCTCCAAAGACTCACGGAGCTCCGCCTCGATTCACCGCGTGCAGAGGGACAGGCTGTTGCTGGACACCAGCAAGATGGCCAGGAAGGCCCACGGTGTGCAGACAGGGCCATCTGAGGGTGGCCCCTGCAGAGCCACCGCAAGAGGACAGGCTGTGATGTGGGGGAGGGTGTCACGAGGGGGATGGAGGCAGGCTGGTCTGCAGACAGCTCCTGTGGCCTCAGTCACTTGGGGACCAGGAGAGGCTGGGCAGGGCAGGTAGGGGTGGC